TCCAAACTAGGACAAAACATCTGGTTTCGCAATGATTCTCTAACTGACATCAGCTCGTGATCAAACCTGTAAATCTAAGGAAGCCGCACATGTTCTACCTTTTTTCATACTAACCGTCAGTTGAAATGTATTCTCACATACACAATGGTTGACTATAATGAGGAGAGTAAAGAATAGACACCACAGCCAAAAGAGCCTGAAGCAACGAATCAGACAGCTGTACATTACAAAAAAATGCTTTTAATAGTCTCCATTGTAAGTTTCACCCTGATTTAGGGTTAGGGTTACAGTTGAGGTTGGTGAAGAGTTGGGCTCAGCGTAAAATTAGGGTTGAGGTTGGAGTAGCTTCAGGGTAGGTTAAGTGTTAAGGTTAGGGTGAAATGGATTAGAATGGTGCATGTCTACAACCAATCCCATAAAAAATAAGACCTATTTTTGAGATATATTAGAGGCATATGCACTGTATAATTCACTTAGATATACATATCCTGTAAATATACTTTTTATACTAAAATGCTACATCCCACCTAGAAGAATATAATTGAATACTTCAAGGCGATTTGGTTGTGGTATCTGTTCTTTACTGTTACCATTATTTTCCTTACTTTATTGTGGGTGTATTACAGGACTTGTTTCACGGCTTAATTGCTAACTGTTCACTATTGTTGTTTGCTTTTCCTTGAGGTCACTGTATAGAAGTCCAGTAGAACAACGTTAAATTATCATTTCCTTTTCCCGTTTTTCTTTTTTTTCAAATTTTTCTCCTTCTTAGTTGGACATTGGTTAATTAACACGGATATTATTTAGATTGTTTATGTTCGTGCTTTTGTCTAGGATACGTACTAAATAAGGCGTATAACTAAGTACTGAGAAACGCGTATTATTCAGGGTATTCAGGGTCATTAAGTAATTAGTATAATGCTTTAGTTAACGCCTTGAACTATATTAACGATCATATATATATATATATATATATATATATATATATATATATATATATATGTTTATATAAACCCAAATGAAAACGTCACGTATAGTTGATATAACCTTTCAGCTAACCATCCACCCACTGTTGATTGGAATCCAATATAGCTCCTGTAGATTTCAGGCTTCAACAGCAGATAACCAATTCATTCTCTTCTCTTCTGTCTTCTCTAGCTGGCTCCATTACTGTCCGTAAGCTCACACATCAAATGATCCTTTCTATATCACTCTCGGATCCACGCCCGAATAATCTTTTCTCATTCGGACTCTAGTCGACGGCCTGGAGAGTGATGTCATTCAATTGTATCTTCAGTGTGTGTCCGACCCTTCTCCATTTCCTTAGCCATATATGTTAGGCGAAACGCTCTTGACTAGTGCGGTATCAGAGTTTCTTGTTTCCACTCCCTTGTAGCCACCCATCCGACCTTTAGTATGGAGTGAATGGCAGCTGTTGCTAAATGTCTTCAGCCTGTTAGAAAGGCTTTTAGTCACACGGGTAATCTCTATTTATGTCTTTGTGTATGTAAATGCTGTTGGCAAAACATAAAACCACTGAATGTTCAGAAGTCTGTGAAGAGTTCTCCATTCTCATTCATTTCGCTGAGAGCCCAGATACATAACGAGTTGTCTTCCTGTACGTACCGTTTACTCCCAGTTCGCTAATCATATAGACGATAAGGATTTTAATGTTACCATCTGGCTAGGCTCTTGTCCACTGCTGCTAGCAGTTGTCTGTAGAATTCTTGCTTCTTCTTTTGATCTGCCGCCTTGTTTTTCCGAGCATACCTTTTACAATGAATTCTCTTGACACTTATAAAGTGGTTAGTTGGAACCCAGGATGAAAAGTTGTGCAAAAGAAAGTTGGTCCACTTTCCTAATATGAGAGTAGAACCTGAACATCAGGATAGTATGCAATGCGAGACTGATTCATTTAAAAAAGATGACTCATTTCCATCAAAATGGAAGTTCATACAACTGGTTCCCTTGATAAATTTCAATAAAGAAAGGAAGACGAAATTTGGAGTATAAAATGATATCATTCTATTCCACAGGTTCTCATCAGCTGCAGACTACCTGAAATCACAATGATTATATGGATGATAATAACATACTTTAATGTTTAAGTGGTAGCAGAGAAGAAATAGTATAAAGTTGACGTATCCAAAATGTAAGCATTACAATTTTTAGTTTAAGTTTTCATCATCAATTTATACGCTTTCAAAGTAGAAAAGGGGGGAGAGGTAAGACAGAAAACAGAAAAAAATTAATTAACAGAACAGTGTTAGCTTGTAGGTTCACATAGCAACTCAAAAAACAAAAGAGTTTACAGTTTATAAGATTGAGATTTGCTCACTAAGTTGAGATCACTGAATTAGATGACTAATTATTGTAATCAAAATCAAAATTCAGTTATCATGGGAGTGAGAGGTTAATCACACTCTCTTTCTGTATGGATAAGTCTGGTTTAAATCGTTTGATTGCGATCGCTTCGGTAAATCGTAGTAAATTTGCTGTCCTTGGTCTATTTAATATTTTGAAGGACTCTACAATTCAGTGATCTCAACTCACTGAGCAAATCTCAATCTTACAAACTATAAATGCTTTTGTTTTTTGGAGTTGCCATGTGGACCTACAAGCTAACACTGTTTCTGTTAATCAATTTTTCTGTTTTCTGTCTTACCCCTCCCCCCTCTTTTCAACTCTGAAAGTGTGTAAATTGATGATGATAACTTAAACTAAAAATTGTAATGCTTACATTTTGGATACGTCAACTTTATACTATTTCTTCTCTGCTACCACTTAAACATTAAAGTATGTTATTATCATTTATATAAACATTGTAATTTCAGGTAGTCTGTAGCTGATGAGAACCTGTGAAATAGAATGATATCATTTTATACTCCAAATTTCGTCTTCCTTTCTTTATGGAAAATGGAAGTTGGTTAAACCACAAGTAATGCATAGAAAATACCGACATAAATTTTCAGATCTTTGTCTAACTTTTCATTTAGCCTTTCATTAAAGCGATCATTTTTCTAAAAGTGTATTAATCGAAGCTATACGAAGCGAAATAACATTGAATCTTTAGGTGGAGATTGAATTTTCACTGGGCACTAGTAACTAGGTGCGTCGGTGGCACAGCGGTTAGGACGCTCGCCAACCATGCACATGGTCTGGGGTTCGATCCCCGGCCGACGCACTTCTCTACCTCACTAAGCCAGTAATAAGACTGGTAAAGAAGAGGATAGGTTGGGTATGAGGCTAGCAACCCCACCCTGTAAAAATAAACACTGCTAGAGGAACTTCAAGCCTCCAGCTTGAAGCTCTATGTTCCACTGGGAAAGTGAAGGAAAAAAAACTAGTAACTAGTGTGATGTGTCTAGTCCTTTCTTTGGCACAGACTGAATTCTATCAGTCAGTCAGGTGTGTGACGTGACCACCACTCTAGGTAGCTCGCCATCACGGTGCACATTGATTTGATGATATTAGATAGTTGGAGCCTTGGACTTAGGTTTTGTGCTAGTTGGCACTCACAAGTCAGCAAGGCGTATCTGCAATCTTGAAGGAACTCACGTCCCTTCCGAGATTCGAACCCGCGTCACCCGGTGCTGCAGTGAGTCAGAGACGTTACCACTGAGCTATTCGGGCTCGCGATTCACCTCCTGTAGGACTGTAGTGATGGCGAGCTAGCTAGAATCGTGGCCACATTGCAAATACTTGACTAATAGAATTCAGTCTGCACCAAAGAAAGGACTAGACACGTCACACTAGTTACTAGTGTCCAATAAATATACCGAGTACAGTCCTACAGGAGGGCAATCGCGAACCCGAACAGCTCAGTGGTAACGTCTCTGACTCACTGCAGCACTGGGTGACGCGGGTTCGAATCTCAGAAGGGACATGAGTTCCTTCAAGGCTGCAGATACGCCTTGCTGACTTGTGAGTGCCAACAAGCACGAAACCTAGGTCCAATGCTTCCTGCTGATTGCCTTCAACTGTCTAATATCATCAAATCAATGGAGATTGCATTTTTGACGCATCTAAAGTTGATAAGTAAATAAAATCCAAACTGGTCTCTGTAATGATGAGAACAAGATTGTCCGAACTGCACTTTTTGTTTGCCAATTAGAAAGTCATGATGCGTGTATAAACTGCTTATGCACCGTTACGTAACAACTTCTACACGAAACAAGTGGAAACAGATGAGAAATCACTTCCCGGAGGTTTCTTCTTCTCCAATTTGGTTGGCAAAATAAATAGTAATTTGACACTGATTTAAAATTGTAAATCTAAATATGTTTCGCAATTGGTTACAAGACTTCATCATGAGCTGACATTGGTTAGAGAACCACTGGAAAAACACCAGGGAGTACTGTACTGAACAGCTGTTTCGTCACTCTAGTAATGGACTCTTCATCAGTACGCAACCACCTTGAAGGTTTGTAGCCAGGACCTTCTGGTTACAAAGCGGGCCAGCTCGTAGACCATTAAGTCACTGGGACTCGATCCAATCCAATAGCGAGCCCATGAATTCTAACTTCTGCCAATTCACGACATAGAGCAACCGCTTGCCAATGTCTTCGGCGAGTATTTGTCCTCACACCCGACCTGCTGCATCCTACTGGTCACGACTTTCCACTAGAACCCCAGGTAACTAACTACCTGAATAGGACCAGTGAGCATCTCATCGATATTCAAGTATTGGTTTTTGTAGGGATTTGATTGATTGGTTACAGGATTTCATCATGAGCTGTTCAGTGCTCCCAGCTGGTCTTCCAATGGTTGTCTAACCAATGTCAGCTCATGATGAAATCCTGTAACCAGTCAATCAAATCCCTACAAAAACCAGTACTTGAATATATTTCGCAATGTTATATTTTTAATTGTTACAAAATTCTGCAAACTGACTAACAGCTCAGCCCAAACAAAGTAATAGAGTGCAGTGTTTCTTTTAAACTGAGTAGTAATGGCAAAAATTATACTCTACATAAAATAACAGAATATTATAAACTCACAGGTACTGATCTTCGGTTAAGGCTGGTTTAACAAATGTATTTGACTTGGCGCCTAAAAAGGAAAGTAAAAATTTAGTGATAAGTTTGCTAACAGTGTTTTGAAGAATACTTGCTAAGCCTCGAGCATCTTCTTTTGGTAGTGAGCAGCAGAATAAGAAAAATGAACTTGGAATTGATTTCTTAAGCACTGCTGATAACCTTATCAAGGTAGGAGATATTCTGTTTTTGAGCGGTGCTTAGGGGCTCATGGCTTTCAAATCGGTTTCAGATAAATCTACTAATATACGTGTTGACATCTTATTGAGTTCGAAATATCTGAAAAGTAACTCATTTTTTATAATTTACTCAGTTTGAGGTGGAATTGCACCATGATATTTCCTTAGAATTCAAAATTTTTCAGATCATCACAGTATGTGATATGTTTGAAACCATAAGTGTCAATCGAAAAAAGCATTTTTCTGTGAAGATTTGAACATTCACTAGACATTCGTATCTATTTGGGCACTGCCTATAGGAATGGAGAATGTTTTTATCTGAATTACTAACATCTTATCTTCGAAAAATAATAGCTAAAACATTCTTTGCCAAAACACAATGTAAGTGAAGATTAAACTACCGAGACTGGCCACTTTATTTCTTGTGGAGACAGTTACACAGGTAGGACAACTCGAAAAGCCAACCGTTGCCTTCTTGAGCAGTGTTAAACGTGGTTAGGTAAGCTAGTTGTAAAGTCAGTCAGGAATTCCATACTGGCACACCTTCGGAATACAGAGCACAAGACTGATAAATAATATTCAGCTTTTACAATTCCATACGAGGTTCCAGATTATATTTATATTATTTATTCCTTCCGTTCCGAGTTTCTTTAGCAGTATTTATTTTTACAGGATGAGTTTGCTAGCCTCATGCCCAACCTTTCCCTTTTACCAGCTTTATTCCTGGCTTAGCGAAGTAAAGGAGTGCGTCGGACGGGGATCGAACCCCGGACCGTGTGCATGGTCGATGAGAGTCCTAACCACTGTGCCACCGACGCACATACAAAATAAATTGTATGGACTATAATAAACATTACATTGGTCAAAGTCAGCGTCCCCTTTTGTGTCCAAATACAAGAACATAAATCATCTGTGGAAAGGTACAATTTGTATTCCCGTCTCATATCAATGCATGTAGATAATTATTTTTGATTGCACACTAGTCAGTAACTAGTGTAATGCGTCTAGTCCTATCTTCGCTGCAGACTGAATTCTATCAGTCATGTTTGCAATGTGGCCACCATGCTAGGTAGCTCGCCATTACGGTGCACTATGAATTGTTGGTTTTTGATGGTTGGAGGCAATCGGCCACAGGAAGCCTTGGACCTAGGTTTCATGCTAGTTGGCACTCACAAGTCAGCAAGGCGTATCTGCAACCTTGAAGGAACTCATGTCCCTTCTGAGATTCGAACCCGCGTCACCCAGTGCTGCAGTGAGTCAGAGACGTTACCATTGAGCTATTCAGGCTCGCGACTGACCTCCTGTAGGACTGTATTGGATATTTTTGATTGCACACTAGTCAGTCTAGTCCTATCTAGATAATTACGCACGCCAATCTGATTAGGATAATGTAGAAATCTTAAATATCGGCAACACCAAACATGCAGTCGGGGAATTTCTAGAAGCCTGGTACTCAGACAAACATCAGCGATTAACAAACATAATACTCTTTGGACCAGATTTACGAAATAATGTAACAAAAAATAAACCCACACGACAACAGAGTTCGAATTCGAAGTCAATACAAGTGATGAATAGAGGCGTAAATCAACAAAACATCCGCGACAATGATTGTCAGGACATACAGATAAATATATGGAGTACGTAACCATATGATTGTACACTTTTTGGTTAGATGTTGAAATTAGAAACATTGTACATGACTTTTGTTTTAAGCGATTTATGTTTGAATATATATAACTTCCGAGTGCAATTTGAAATACAATATACTGTTGGTAGCTTCGCCTTCTCTCTGGCTATTTCTGTCTACTCACTCCACTCAAACCGTGTTTTATTTTATTTTTTTAATTTATTATAGCTTGATTCCACACCGTATTTTTGGTACAAGTATGGAATTTTCAGCACGTGATATCGGTAGCCCAATTTTGCAGGCCGATCATAGATATCGGGTGTGCGCCGGCAGGGGATCGAACCCCGGACCATGTGCATGGTCGGCGAGAGTCCTATCCACTGTGCCACCGACGCACATACTTTGGATTTATTGCAGGAACCTATTATCCTTATCCGAAGACAAATCTACAACCGGAACACCGCTTCTACCAGTAGACACGATTCCAACAGTCAACGCTTCTGTGGATTATATAAATAATTTGTAGCAGTGGACTTTAACAACGTATCCAAGTAACCTATTAATCAATATAACTCATTATTGCATTTTGATAATATATTGTTACACTACTATCTCATTGACTTGGATTTTTATTCGCATATTTTGTTGTGTTTAATGAGCTTGCTCTAGACAGTTCCCTACAAATATCATTCACGGAGAATTCAAGTAGGTTCACTTTATATTGGACAACGAAAGCTCAACAGTTTAATCAACTAGCTCAGAGAACACAATTAAATCATGTTTAAAACACTAGGTCGTTGATGTTTTCTCCTAAACTTTCACATTAACTAACTAACTAACTAACGAACTATCCAACTGTCAATTCAACAATATAATTAGAATATGGGGCTATGCAGTGGGCTTACTAATACAGTAATCATTTCTATGAGACATATACACATATATATTATTTCACAGAATTAATCGACCTGTGTAATACATCTTCTCATCAGTTAATTTCCTGAATGAGAGAAAAAAATAATTTCTAATACCTTGAACAAGACTAAAAGCATTAGAGAGTGTATTATATAAAAGTATAATAAATTGAGAAACACACACAATTATGATTAAACAATGCTAAACAGAATTTACATATATAAACATATACATAGGTACATATAATATCAGGGAAGTGACTCATTTCCATCAGCAGACATGTTTATTCAGCCACTGATAATATCACATTGTTACAGAAATAATGGTACACAAAGCCGAGAGAGCGAGAGAGAGGCGTGGAGAGAGAAAGACAGGGGGAGGGAGACCAAGGAACAAATAGGATGGTGGCAAAGGGAAAATGATAACAACATAGCCGGAAAGTGTAAAACAATATCTTTTGTGTATAATAGTCATATATACATATATATGTATATTGCGTGACACACTGACTATTTGTTATTGTGTGGTTAATTCTGTGGTCTTGAAACACAAGTTATTACATTTGGTTATATGCTAGGCTTTCTTTCATCTAAAACTATTCTCATTTATTCTATTATTATTATTAATATTAATATTATTATTATTAATTTCGTGAACAAAGGTTCGCATTCATACTCTGTTATCTGGTACAATCTTGTTAATATGAGAGAGCAAGAAAGAGGGACAGAGAGAGAGAGAATAAACTAATCAGCATATAAAATTGTTATCAATATTCTTGCTCTATATATACAAGGAAATACGCTGATTAAGAGAAGAATTACTGCAGAAACATACATACACACACAGAGAGAAAGACTAAAGTCCTTAGTCGACAGACTTTTGTTGTATAATATATTTAGATAGAATGGAGTACGCCATGGTTGTGTTATAAACGTGTATGCCGAAACAAATCTGTTGATGTGCATAGATGAAGTTATTTAGTAATGCAAGCGTAGATGCAAAAGCCTACGAAGTTAAGAAAAACAATATTAGTTAGATCACCAGTTGACATCAGTCAGAAAACCTGAGAGTACCAGACGGCTGTTTCGCCATAGTTTGGGACTCTTGAGGAATATCCACCTCCACTGGGGTGAAAACCCGGGACCTACAGGTTACAAGGAAAGCTTGTAGACTATTCAGCTAGTGGCACCCGATCCGAGGGCTTATGACACTGACTGGTGGTTGCACTATATTTATCGTGAATTGGCAGAATTTGGAATTCACGACCCACTGGATGGAGTTCCAGTGGCTGAATGGCCTACAGGCTCCCTTGGTAACCCGAATGCGGATGGATACTGCTGAAGAGTCTCAAACTGGTTCAAAACAGTTGTCCAGTTTTCTAAGGTTTGCTAGCGGTTTTCTAAATAATAATGTCGTCTAGTAATCAAACTAATACTGTTGTCCTCTATTGAACAGTGATCAATTTTTGGGATCTCACTACGTTAACCATTACATATGATGGAGAAGATTTATTGTAGCTCAGGGGGATGATAATAGCGTGCTTGTGTTGTAACCGCATGAAGGTGTTGTACTGAAAGACAATGAAAGCTTAGCATTTAAATCATCCATCTTAAGGAACACAATTACGCCGATAGATTAACCCTTTTTTCCACTGTACCATCCGTGAAGAGCAGTTGTCTTCTGTGAGTTTTGTAGGTTCGATAAAAAAATTACCGGTTATACAGATCGGTGCCAATACAATGAATTTAGGATTTTTAATGTCCGTTACCGACTTGGTGGGTATCACAAGAGACAAATCAGAAAAGATCCTTAGCTACTCAACAGAGTAAAAAGAAAATGAATCAGGCAGCTGGTGGTTTTGAAAATGAAGAGGAAAACGTCATTGGGAGACTCAAATATACGAACATCAACTATATAATTGTACGCAGTTGGTGGTGTACGCGTCGGTGGCACAGCGGTTAGGACACTCACCGACTATGCAAATGGTCCAGGGTTCGATTCCCGGCCAGTGACGCACTCCTTTACCTCGCTAAGCCGAAAATAAAGCTGATAAAGAGGAAAGGTTGGGAATGAGGTTAGCAACCCCGTCCTGTAAAAATAACCACCACTGCTACAGAAACTTCAAAGCCCTAGCTTGAAGCCCTATGTTCCACTGGGAACGTGAAGAAAGTAATAATCATATAATAAAATAACGATAACGCAGTTGTGGTAGTCAGGGTAAAGCTGACAGTTACTAGCTTTACTGCAAAAAAGAAGTGAAACACAAGGGATGTAAGCCTATCAGTGTACAACATATTAAGAAAAATTATTTTTCGGCCTAGGTAAATATATCCTGTCTCTATACATTTTCAACCTGGAACTTCAACACTAATGCCTAATGAATAGTTTTATATGATTCAGGGATTTGATGTCTGCCTCACGAAAAGCATTTCCAGGTGGGCTTCTACAGACTTTCATCAACAGCTGCCGCCTTAGTCGGCTCTTTACTGAAGGTCAGATGGATAGCAAGAAAGGATTAGCAGTAAAGGCCTGAGGGAAAGAACCAATTAGGAACCTGTCAACCAACAGTTATGCAGGATTAGAGAGATGGACTGAACACTTGCTGTGGAGACCGTTGAGTAACACCATGAGCGAGGGAAACCCTGAGGTGGAACCTGAATGGGGAACGCCAATTCGGATGTTGGTCAGGGAGTAACATGGACGAGGCTGTGTGAAGAGGAAGTGAAAGTCTGGGAGAGTCGTGAAGCCAGCTAAGGGAGACAACATAGTACAGGATGAAATGGGGATATCTTCTTAAAACCCGCTGTCTCACTTGGAATCCAGAGGAATAATACTGATATTTTAATCCACAGTGTGTAAAAAATTCTATTTCACCAGAGAAAATAAAGTATATTCTCAATAAAGCAGGAATTACATTGGCATTCAAACCTACAAATTCACTCAGAGACAAGCTCTGTAGGTTAAAATACCCGGTGGACCCAATTAAACAAAATAATATAATTTACAAAATACCTGGTAATGACTGTGAGTTAAGTTAACTACATAGGTCAAACTAGTAGATCGGCGGTAGTCATATTGCCGGAACACAAGAATTTAGCTAAGGTAAGAATGGTTGACCCCACCCGCGAAGATAAGCAATTTAGAAAAAAGCTTAGTACTACATCGCACTGCATGCATTAACACACAATCACACAATAGGGTGGGAGAGGGTTAATATTCTAAGAATTAATATAAGTAGGTGGAGAGAGAGGTTGATTACTGAATCTTGCCTGAGTCATCGAGTCTACACCCAACACATGCAACAGAAATGACTCAATGTAAAAACCAGAAATTTGGAAGATATTATTACCACCAGTCAGTCAGTCAAATCAGAGGAGGATAATAAATAATCTCAAAATTCTATTTCAATTCAAGCACACCACAACATTCTAACAATTTCAAAAATATGGTCATATGAAGTTGTATGAACATTCACCCCTGGAATGGAAATGCAAATGCTGAGAATAACTAATATAATTCCTAATTTTCAGCAAATTCACGTATTCAAAATTTGCGAAACATTTTCAGCAAAATAACACAGTTTGATCCTTTTTCTTTTCAAATTTCTATTTCTGGGTGAATTATTAACACTTGTTAAATGAGTATGTGAAAAAAAACCAAAATAAAATAAAATTCCTTAGTTGAAATTGTAGACAAGACAAGGGGTGAGAAATTGCAAAGTCTAAGGTCTGTTTCATTCGAATTCTTGTATCCAATTAGTGTGAAACTAACAGTTTAAGATTTCATTCAGACCTAATCTATAGGTATGCAGAGATTTTCTGTGGAACATTTTCGTCTGTTTTAAATAGCTGAAGACTAATCACAAGTACAAACTTCCAGTCAGTGATGGATAACGAGGGAGATGCTTGTTTTTTCAGACATGGTATACAACTGTTTTTAATTGGAATTGTAATATTGTTAAGAAATCATAAAGTTTATGAAAGGGAAAAGAAGTATAGCGGATGGTTATATTATAATTCCCTTGGGTTTGCAGTTGAACGTAGGGCTTTGGTAGAACATCGTTATTTCATTCTGTCTCATGCACTCGTCTTTAACTGGCTCCATGACTGTCCATAACCTCTCATCTCCCTCCACCTCACATAATCTCCTCCATACTGTCCTTAGATCTACGCCCAACTTCATGTTTGGCACTCGAGTTCCACTTGATTGATGGCCTGATGAATGGTATCAGCTCATCGATGTCTTCAGCGTATCACCCATCCACTTCTACTTCCTTCTGAAGATTTGTTGGGTGGTGGGTTGTTTATTGATTCGTTCCCAGAGTTCTCTATTACTTTGCCTTTCTAGACGACCATCTCGTCTTCAGTATCGAGCCAGATAAAGCAGCAGTTGAAGAAAGTCTGCATTAACCCATTAAAACTGCTATTCGTGAGTAATCTTCAAGTATTGGTTTTCTAGGGATTTATTTTGATTGGATGAAGGATTTCATCATCAGCTGACATCAGTTAGAGAACCACTAGAAAACCTGGGAGTACTGAACAGCTGTTTCGTTCTAGTTTGGGACTCTTAATCAGTACGCACCCACCGGAGTTCGAACCCAGGACCTTCAGGTTATAAGGCTAGTGAACTCGTAGACCATTTAGCCACTGGGACATTATCCAATGGCCAGCTCATGAATTCTAACTCCTGCCAACTGACGACGTGGCGCGACCATTTCGCAATGTCTTCTTCAATGAGTTACTGCCTCATCTTCAACCTGCTGCACCCTACTAGTCAATGCCTGTTGTGTTGTTCCGATCCTGGCTTTGACATCTTCACTTTAAATCCTGTCATCGCTGCTTCTTCTGCCAAACTGTCAGTTTTCACCGGTAGGTCTTGGAGTCTGTGTGACGTAAGACGTAAATTGTCCGAGAAATCCAGATTTTCCGCAATCTTCTTGTCGGCCAAATGTACTTGTGTTTATCTGATTTGAATTTGAAGTTTTTCATCTTTCATGTAAATCGGATTAGCAGGCGAATGTATGATCAAACTGTTTGAAATGAATTCCACTAATACATCACACTGTTCAAACAAACTCCGTCTTAATTAATGGAAGACTCCGAGTGTTTATCTTTCTAAGTGGGATCTCCAGCTTTAATCTAACTGAAACATAGTGTCATAATAGTCTGTCACAGCTGGCTTTAAGGGAGTACATTTGTAAGCACGCTGTAGTCCGAATAATACCGGTTTCCAAGGGACACACTGTAATGAAATTCCATTCGAACCGTGTAAATTTCAAATTATGAGTTTGATTCATCATATCAACTGTTCTCCGCTATATGTAGCCGGAATTCAGGTGGTCTGAAATGGTCTCACCTACCGAGATGAGTCAAATAGTCTTGACCACTGATAAACTCTACGCCAGACGAGCGAAATGACCGTTCGGTGTTTTCATCAGTTTGATTTGGAAAGCAAGCACTAATAGCTAATGTGAGTACTCTTCAACTACTCATATCAGTCAACCAGTAGTGTACAAAGTCAGTAAAATCAAGAAGCCATTCTACCAACTGTTTACTAATCCACTGACCTTTAACATATATATACAAGTGGATTTTATCAATGGGAAAATAGGGAAAAATGAGTGATATTGAAAGAACTGTGATACTCACTTTTATTCGTCAACTGTAGATGGGCTGTTGCATTCAGTGTTCCCGACGGATTAGTTGCAACACAGAGGTATTGACCAGCGTCGGAACTTTGCAGTTTCTCTACACGCAAACTTCAAATAGAAAAAAAAAGGAAGCAGACAATCAATGGTGAGTTTTTAAAGTAACAGTGAGTTGTTAAAATCGATGGTATGAAATATTAATACGGATTATATATTTGCTTCAAGTTTGATATCAGTTAGAATAACATTGAAAACCAGTAATGCAGTTCTGGGCAGCTGTTTCGTCATAGTTTCAAACTCGGCGAAGGTACGCATCCACCACGAGTGTTCGAACCCAAAACCTACCGGATGCAAGAAAAGCTCGTGGACCGTTTAGTCATTGGCACTGAACTCAATGGTCAGCTCATGAATCCCCACTTCTAGCGGTTTGTGATACATAGTTCTATTGGGGACACCATCCAATTTCATTCGTGGTGAGTATGTCTCCTCACTGCCGACCAATTGGTGGACACCACTGATCACGCACGTCTTCTCACTAGAACTCCTCCAGTCAGCTTTGTGCGGTAGCCAAGTTCGACCACTTGAAACAGATCGAAGCCCTACAAACTAAATCGTGAATTTATTTATTTATTTTATTGGTTATAGCCTGATTCCACACAGTATTTTTGGTACAAGTATGGAATTTTCAGCATGTAATATCGTTAGCCCAAATTTTGCAGGCCGACCACTGATATCAGATGTGCGTCGGCCAGGGGATCATGTGCATGGCCGGCGAGAGTCCTAACCGCTGTGCCCCAGACGCAGGGAAGTTTCGGTGCTACGCTAGTAACCCCCCACGGTCTAGAAACGAAACAACTGCTACCAGAAGCTCAAAGCTCAAGCTCGAAGCCCTGTGTGTGTATGTGTGTAATATAATAGGATAATTCTACAAACAATCAGAAGTGGAACTTACGCGCTTCCCCACAGAGCAGTAGTTATCTTTATTTTATTCTGTTTTTCTACCAATTTTTCGCCATTTTTATACCACTGAAATTGAGGTATCGGTTCACCGAGAATATCGCAATAAAATGTTCCTTTCACTCCGACTGAACGAGTAAGATTCCGCATTGCTTGACTCAGACGAATGTAAGCTGTTAAGTGGGAACATAATGCAGTAGGTAAACTATATAAGAAGGCACAATAAAACACAGGGTAAGTCACTTTTTTTTAGAAAAAAATGCTCACAGTATTGTGAAATTTATAAACCTTTAATTAACACATTCACTTTTCGGATAAGCTTCTTCACCAGACAGTAAATAACTGACACAGCATAAGATAAGAAACACAGACGTTCGATCTTAACTACTTTGCGCAGATAAAAAAGAATATTTCCCAATGAAAAAACTTACTGTTTATCTAGTCGTAAAGTAAAGTAAATGATTTTCCTAATTATTATTTTTATTATTTTTCCTTCTGAGTGAATAAACGAAAACAATAACAACAAAAATAAAAGCTATTCAGTTAACAGGCACAAATAAGACAGTCGAACCCTTGAAGTATTGATTTAAATTAAAGTCACAATCGTACGACTACACTCCAAAGTTTGGAGGGTAGTAAAACTGTTGGAAGTAAATTTTCTCAAAAAAGATGAAAAAGGGATATTTGGGAGTATGTAGGTATCCACTGCGATACTGTCTTTTAATGTTACTAAATTATAAGTAATCTATATTTCACATTTCTCTTGTGTGATTGGGCGCTTCTGTAGCGGTAGGATTGATTTTCTCGGGTGGAGTCGCTAGCCTCATGTTTAAACATACCTTCTTTTTTGGGGGGGGGGTATCGGAGGAAGAAGCCAGGGTTGGGAAGACAAGACAGTGTAGTCAGAGTAAAAACCCGCTGCACTCATCATAAAGCACAAAATCCCGATTTCCAACATTGGTGTCAGGTAATTCAGAGCTTCTAAGTGGTTCAGAGGCTTGGCGCGTCGCGAAGAAAAACATGTCCAACAGCTCACTACAGACTCCTATCAGCAGAAGCCTTTGGTCGATAATGAAGGTCAGATTGTTGGTCAAAAAGAGTAAACAACAAGCAATTCCGGACGTAAGCCAAACAAGAACCTATCGCTAAAATAACTTTCAGAAGGATAGGACATACGCTGAACAGACCGCTGAGTGAAATTACGCGGTCGTCCATCGAGTTAAGCGTGAATCTGAGGGTTAAATGGCGAGATTATGTGAAGAGGAGGTGAATGTTTACGAGAAAGCGTGAAGCCAGCTGTAAAAGACTTCAGAGTACCAAGCGAAGTGAGGATGTATTTGTGAAGCCCCTTTATCCTACTCGGAAATCACAAAAGGAATAATAATAATATAATGATATAGCTGTATCAAGACTGGGACAAGTCTATCCAAACCGAAGCTGAAAACATTGTAGAACCCCAAATACGTGTCATTTTGCATGTTTGCATACTCAGCAAACATATCAAAGAGATACGGGACATCTGGTTATATTGTTGGGGCAAAAATATTAAAACAGTTATCGAAGAAATGTCACTGGAATATGAAGTTTATGCTTATAGGCTGCCTGGGAATATAATATATAGTTTTGATTAGTTTAATCCAAATTTGTGTTCAGGTAATTTAGTCACTAGTACTTGACGTGTATTCGTGTATGTGACGTCAGCTAATGCTCAAAATTTAGCTATTTAGGTATGCATGTATCCCTACTGGTCTTTTATGATTATTATTTCTTTGGGAACACAGTAAAAAATAGGGGTTCAGCAATACATCTTCACTTCCTTCTATTTTCTACTGTCCTCTTCACCTGGGTGTACACGACTGACCGTAATCTCTCATCTCGTCAACGCCACACGACCTCCTCCACGTCACCATCGAGGTGACGACCCACTCGTCACTTCCCATTGGGGTTCCACTCGTGCTATGGCCTGCACTGAGCACGAAGTCATTTGATGGACTCCTCAGTACATGCTCGATCAACCTCTATTTGCTCTTACATATTTGTTGAACGAAACGTTCCTGGTTGATTTGTTCCCCGTCAAAGCTTCTTGTTGCTAACTCTTTCTGGCCAGCTAGCCATCTGATCTTCAATATTGAGCCCACGAAGTCATTTGTTGATAAAAGTCTGCAGCTGGCTGTTGGAGATGCTTTCCGTGACGCCCTGACCACGTTTCTGACCCATTTAGAAGCGATGACTGGTGTAACATTGGTGTTGAAAATTCGAATACTATTCACATTGATCATAAACGGCACTAATAATGACCGATTCAGCTGTTAAGTTGTTAAGTCATCAGGTAACCGGGAAAGTTAAAACGGTCTGATTATGTGTGCTTTTAAAAATAATAACATGTAGGTAGCACCTTTTTCCGAAGAGCGACTCTGTTTACAATTTGAAAATAATAAAGTCTTATACGACTTGTATGTGCTAATAACACATTTTCATATTGGATATATAATGAAGACCACCCAGAATGAGTGTTTTGTTTTAATGTTTGCATTCATTACTGATATATATTATAACTTAAGTCAATAATGTACATTTAATCGACTTCGGTCACAAAGCTACTAGTTGTGTAGTAATCAAAACAGAATCTACTAGCTAGTTCGATTGTACTGAGACAACCTGTAAATGTCTCATTTAAATAATCTAGGATGAAGCTACTTTGACAGAGTTCCTCGATATTCAGAGTGACTTTTGTTATTACTAGACTTCTTGGTGCCTACTACATTCAGTAGCATAATAAAGTTTCTTGAAATCAGTCGGTAGATGGTGACTAACAGTGGGATCCAGGATAACGCGCATTTCGTCCTATCTGGGACTAACCATCAGCTGGATGTACCTGCGTTCACCGGTGAGTCATGATGTTCCCACCGAGGCTCAAACCCAGTGCCCAAATAGGACTAAATGCGCGTTATCCTGGATTCCACTGCCAGTCACCATCCGCCAGCTGACTGCAAATTACATGACCGGATATCGTCGAAGCATCTGCACAAAGAGCCGACATGTCAACCTGTCGATCCAAACAATCGATGGGAAAATCTAATCACAATCTATGATCTACATGATACCATGAATAGCAATCGAGGAAAGCAAGCGTAGGTGCTTGATGCTATATCCTGCTGGATGACTGGCAATTGACTAATTGAGCAACACTCACACTAACCAGTAGTGTTTGTTAATCAGATCAAAATGTTCTAAATACCGGACGGTGCTTTCACCCACTTACGGGTGGGCTCAAAGTGCTGAGCCAGTTCAAACCATCCGATTTCTGGCTAGCTAGCAACTTCGACAATCTAGTAATATCATGCATCAAATTCGCGATTCGTAATAAACACAGTTCTAGGTGAAATTTTACCAGAGTTTCCTTTGGAATCTGAAGTTATACAGATCACAGTATGTGTCTCAACTAGCAATACAGTTTTTTTATTCACTCAGTCAATGAGACAGACATTTAACTGAAAGTTATACAATTTTCAGATACTATTGCGAAGATGAAGTTGTATGCTTGATTAAAAGGAGTGATACATTTGTCTTTCATTGAATCTTTTCTAAACTGAGTTAGGATGCAGTTTGTAAGCAATCACAACGCGGTTAACACTTTTTGTAACATGTTGAGTGAAATGCACTTGGCATTTCAAATACAGATAGTTTGAATGGCTTTTCAGAATTTGATTTATCAGAAAGGTGAATTGTTGTGATCATTACGAATCCCTTTGGGCTCCAAGTGGGACATTGGGCTTTAACAGAAGGCCTCTATGGCACTATCTTCTCTGAAGTCGTTTTTAAATGGCCCCTGACTACCAGTAGGTTCTCATCTGCAAATCTTCGCATGATCGTCTTCATATCACTCTTGGACACACGCTCAACTAGTCGCTTCCTATTCCGATTCCAGTTGGTGGCCTGGCGCGCAGTGTCACCCAACAATCTCCTCAGTGTATGTCCAATCCATTTCCAGTTTCTTCTCCATATTTGTTGAGCAATAGGTTCTTGATATGTTCGTTCCGAGACTTTCTTTTTCTAAACTGTTTCTGGCCATCCAGCCAGCAAAAGCAGACGTTAAAAAAAGTCTTCAGCCTATTGGAAATGTCTTTCGTGAAGCGCCAAAACAGTCAAAACGTAGGGGCGTTTTAAGAATGAATGTGACAGAACAAAAATATCCACAGTGGTTTGTAACAGTTCTAGATTGATCTACAAATTGAGCAATCATCACATAAAAGTTCTGTATGAACTGTTTTCGCCTTCTGCTCATCTGTTGAAGTACTGCATGAATTTTAAGTTTTAAGATCACATTATTTCAAAATTGGAGTGCATTTTTTTTCTTGTCAACAAGCGCCAAATGTAATCACTTACATTCTCATGTTTTCCGGTTATCATTATTTGTAGAAAATACGCTACTTAAGATGGTTTTGTGAAAGATGTCAGATTTATGGTTTAGTATAATCCGATCTGGACTTCGCCAATGAAATATAGGTCTGATTTCCCACAAACTGGAAGATATGCAAGTGAAAAGCAACAAGTTGGCAGAAATAGCATCCAGAGAAGATAGGACTTCAGGTGGACATAGAGAAAACATAGGTGATGGAAATTTCTAGCCAACAGCAACAGCAAAAACAAAAGACAATAACGGAAGAAATATGGAAGAGGCAAATTCCCTTTTCTACCTAAAAAGCATCGTTTCAACTACAGGCGGACGGAACTGATGAGGATATCAAAGCAAGTATCATCGGGAAAGCAAGACAAGCTTTCACTACTCTCAAGTCTGTGTGGACGTCAACAGCACTACTCAGCATCAAAAATAAGATCCAGATTTTCAACTCCAATGTGAAGTCAGTGCTACTATACAGATCAGAGACTTGGCCAGCGCGCCACGAAGGGTACTTCAAACAAACTACACACCTTCATCAACAGATGTCTTCGCTCACTATTGAAGATCAGATGGCCGACCTGAAAAGATCAGGAAAATAGATCTCTGGCGATGAGCGGACCAACACAGCAGGAACCAAGTGTGCAACAAATATGCAGGAATAAATGGAGGTGGATTGGCCATACTCTGAGAAAACAAACCATCAAGTGACATCACACGACAGGCTCTTTCTCTCTCCCGAATGGAACCCGAATGGGAAGTGGATAGTTAGTTGGTCTTCAGTGCAAGGGTGACATGGGGGAGGAAGTTATGTGAGAAGTAGATGAAAGCATGTGGGCAGACATATAGACAGGTTAAAACGTTGGCAGTGAACCGAATGCAATGGAGACGTGTGGCTGAAGCCCTAATTTCCACTAGGAATTAAAGGAAACAATAATAATTCGATTTACTCATTAAATGATGTATTGAAATTCAAGTGTTGGTTTGCAGGGATTTGACTGGTTTCAGGCATTCATCATGAGCTGACTTCGGTTTGAGAACCACTGGAAAAACCGGGAGTACTCGACAGATGTTTCATCAGCCTAGTTGGAGACTCTTCATCAGTACACATCCTCCATCAGGATTTCAACCCACAAACCACGAATTGCAACTTCTGCAAATTCCTGATATGGCGCAACCACTGTTCAGTGTCATCGGCGAGTATTTGGCAGAAGTTGGACTGCATGGGCTTTTCATTGAGTCAGGTTCCAGTGGCTGGATCCTCTACGAGCTCTCCATATAACTGGAATGTCCTGAGTTCAAACCCTGGTGGCAGGTAAGGACTGCTGGTTGAATACTCACCAACTACACACGTGATCCGGGGTTCGATTCTCAGCCAACTCGCTCTTGAACCTTACCTAGTTTTGCCGGTTGTTACTAAGCTTGGAAAAGAGTGGGTGTGAGGCCAGCAACCTTACCCAGTAAAAAACCAAAATCCTTGCTACTGTAAGTCTGAAATTCAATGTTCCACTCGTAACTCACAGAGAAAATATTCAAGGCATGGATATATATATTAATAGCCCAGATTAGCGTTTGTTCATGTGTGAATAGATGTGATGAGGGTTTTCGCTCGACGTGTTTTTTAAGAAAAAAACCCATTTTACTCACTCTGCGAGATAAATGAATCGCCTAGAATTACAGAAAACACATATGAGAAAAACTGTGATCATAAAAAATTCTAACTAATTTCTCTCTCGTTTGAATAATACTAAAAAGCATACATTAGCATAAGAATGACTGGAGAATATTTTTATGTCGAAATATATATGCATACCCAAAGGTAATATAAATATTTATGAGTGTAATTGAATCTCTAATGTTTATCACCCCTTATGAAGCGGAGTGGCACGGGGTGGGGAAGTATTTTGCATGTCTATGCAAAATAAGCTGGTAAACAACATTTGTCTAAGATTTATTTTCTGAAAATATCTTCTTCGTCTTCATTGTGTTTCAGTCTTTTCAACTGAAAATGTAGAGAAAATTACGACGTGCGTACTTATGCATAGTCTGACTTTTGTGTTTCTAAAACGAGAGGGATATTTCTACTAAGACTCAAAATTCTCCTGTCTAAGACAGAAAAAAGTACTTTCACTTTGCAATAGAGAATAGCATCACAATGAGGGTTATTATTATTGTTTCCTTTAATTCCTAGTGGAAATTAGGGCTTCAGCCACACGTCTCCATTGCATTCGGTTCACTGCCAACGTTTTAACCTGTCTATATGTCTGCCCACATGCTTTCATCTACTTCTCACATAACTTCCTCCCCCATGTCACCCTTGCACTGAAGACCAACTAACTATCCACTTCCCATTCGGGTTCCATTCGGGAGAGAGAAAGAGCCTGTCGTGTGATGTCACTTGATGGTTTGTTTTCTCAGAGTATGGCCAATCCACCTCCATTTATTCCTGCATATTTGTTGCACACTTGGTTCCTGCTGGGTTGGTTCGCTCATCGCCAGAGATCCCACCCTTTTGCTGATCTTTTCTGACCATCTAATCCTGAGTACTGAGCGAAAACACCTGTTGATGGTAGTGTCTAGTTTGTTCGAAGCGCCATTCGTGACTCAGAACCAAGTCGCTGATCCGTATAGTAGCGTTGACTTCACATTGGAGTTGAAAATCCGGATCTTATTTCTCATGCTGAAAAGTGCTGTTGACCTCCACACAGACCTGAGAGTAATGAAATCTTGCGTTGCTTTCCCGATCCTCGCTTTGATATCCTCATCAGTTCCGTCCGCCCGTAGTTGAAACGATGCTTCCCAGATCGGTGGGTAGTTAAGGGAGGTTGCTATTTTCAGACTCCTCCCATTTATGCTGACTGTTGTACGTTGTCGTTGGCCTGGCTATTGCTCTTGGCCGGGAATCTTCATCACCACATCTGTCTTCTCTATGTGCACCTGAAGTCCCTCCGATCTTCTCTGGATGCTTATTCTGCCAACTTGTTGCTTTTCACTTGCATATCTCCCAGTTTGTGCGAAATTAGACATATATCATCGGTGAAGTCCAGATCCTCCAAGTTTTTTGTGTGTGTCCATTTTATGCCTGTTTTCACTCTGCCCGCTGTCTGCCACATTATTCAGTCTACCGCAATCAGGAAAATCATTGGAGATAGTAGGCAGCCAGCTTGTCTTACTCCCGTCTTCACTTCGAAGGATTCTGTAAGTTTCTGGTTGTGGGTAACTTGACATGCAGCATTGTCGTACAACTGTCGGATGAGATGTAAAATCGTTAGCAGCACCCCTTAGTAGCGGAGTAGTTTCCAAATCACCTCTCCATCGACGATGTCGAAGGCCTTTTCAAAGTCAATGAAGTTGAGGTAGATTGCTGACTGCCAGCCATTCCAAGCTCTGTTTAATGATGATGCGTAATGTTGTGATTTGATCGATGCATGATTTGTTCCTCTTGAATCCAACCTGTTCCAGTTAGAGGCTTTCATCCAGGGCGTGTTTGATTCTCTCCAGGATGATGCGGCTTAGTATTTTGCTTGGGGTGGACAGGATCATAATACTGCGCTAGTTCTTGCATTGACCTAAGGGTTAACAGTGCGGAAAAGTTTGTACTCTCTCGCCTTGAGAAAGATGGGCATGAGTAGTTTCCAAAGCTACTCATCGTAAAAACTGAGAAGTTTATCGTTTAAATATTGCGTATCAAAAGTTAAATGTTTCAAGGGAACATAGCAACTGGAAAATTAAGACACTGACAAAGGAAATAATAGTGTATATCCGAGAAATTATGTGTATTCATTTTGAAAATGTCACTCACTTTTACGTTCTTCTCCGGATTTCACTTCGTAGTGCATACTGAAAGGAAAGGAAATTGAGAAATTGTGTTAAAGGCACAGAAATGCAAATGTATATTGAACGAAAGCCAGAAAATGCAAAATTTTACGTACATTTAATTCATATACTTCACTGTTGGGTTTCTGTACGAGTTGTCTTTGCGGATGGACATTCAACGGTGACATCTGAGAGAAGTGGTATTATTATGCGAATAATGGCACATGTAGTTAAGTTGATACGGTTAACAACTGAACAGTGATAATGACATTAAATCCCCAGTTTATTAGGCGTATTTCTATCGCCTAACCTCTTTTTCGTCATTGGAACGCACAAAAGCTGATATTGTAAATCACACTAGTTAGCCTACTCAATTGTCTTTTGAGTCGAAATATCACTTTTTACCATAAACATTGGTGGAGTCGTGTTCTCCATGCTGCATAAATTTCACAGTCTTTCTAATCAAAATATTTAACGCAGACTTCTTTAGGAATTCAGCCTTTAGAATTCTCTCTCTTAGACATCGCTCCTGATAACCTTGACCGTGACTGGTTGTTCCTCCAGATTTTCTTGACTGGAGCTACAAATCTTCAAAGCATTGCTGAATCTTTGAACGAATTAAATTTGTTTGTTTATTAGCAAGAAGCTGAGATGAAGTGCAAAATGATGCTGTGTAAACATTTTGACAGAAAATCACTTGAAAGATATTCACACATTAAGCCTTCGAAGTAGTCATCAGTACTCGCACACCATGATAAATGAAAAGCACGTTTCAAATAAAGCACATTTTTTCAAGAGCTGGGTTTGTTGGGATTTGGTTTGTTTCAAGTTCGACAAGGGGTTGATATCAGTTAGAGAAACATCCAAAACCAGTACTGCTGTACTGGATAGCTATTTCGTCATAGCTTCAGACTCAGTGGAACAACGCATCCACTACCAAGGTTCGATCCCAGGACCCTCAGTTTACAAACCAAGCTCTCAGACTATTCAAATAGTGAGACCACGAACCCAAACTTCTACCAATTCGTGATACATGGCACTATTGGCGACACCAACCAGTGTAATCCGTCATGAGTATTTGTGCTCACTCCAGACAGGGTGGACCCCAGAACTCCTCGAATCAACTTAGTCCGGAAGTCGGTCACTAGTCACCAGTTGCGTCAAAATCACGCACCGGTAGAAGTTGAGATTCATGAGCTGGCCATTGAGTTCGGTCCCACTGGCTGAGTGGTCTACGAGCTTTCCCTCCAACCGGAAAGTTTTGGGTTTGAACTCTGGTGGTGGGTGCGCACTTCTGGTACCTCAGTACTGGTTTTCAATGTTTTTCTAATTGATATCAATCCCTGGTCCCCATTGAAATAAAGAATACTTCTTTTTAACCTTCGCATGACTTGTTATTCCCTAGGATATAGGAATATACATTTTATAAACTATAAAAAAAAATTGTCTAAAAGGTAAACATTTTCAAATATTTTACAAAAGGGAACGGGTATAAATGAAATGAACTGTTTTACACCCATGGAGTGAATTTCCTGTCAATATATATATGTAGAGTTAGGCGAGTCTAAATAATCACGTTCACTCCAGTTTTAGGAAATATCCTGCGAAAACAAAGTTAGCCTGATGAATAAGCACATTTCTCTCTTACAACTTCATTGGTCAAACAAAAAAAGCTGTCTAGTCTTTGTATATTCGCATACGCTGAAAAAGCACTTAATCAAATACTTTTTTTATAGCCACATGGTTGAGAGTGCATTCCTCTTCTACAAAAATTGATATATAAGGGATTCAATCTATAGGAAACTATTTTCTTAATTTCTGATGTATCAGTCAGTCAGTCAGTCTGATGCATTGTTTTTTGAAGAATATTTCCACGGAAGCTTGGTGTGTACATTCAGACCAACAGTATGCACTTGTAATGGACATATTGGTTGGAAAATCCCTTCTGGACGGTCTATTTATTGCATTTTTACTTATTTAGATGTTTCAGCTAACTTTGTGATTATTATACGCCTTTACCCTACCTAGATTGTATATCACATTAATTTCACATTTGCATAGCACATGTTCATTTCCCACCTTTATTATCGGCCTCCGTCCTTACTAAATCTTTAATCGTAATATGCCTCTTTGTGGTTGTGTGTATATTAACAAAGTGTTTTGTTTAACAATATGAGGTTATTTGAGTGAGTGAAGGTCATTCTTACCCCAGAACTGACTGCCTGTGGGGAGCCTTGGTGTGTGATTCTTGCGAACAGAGCTTTTCACCTCATCCTGTTGGGAACATTCGCCTTCCCGATTCTCAGGTAATTTGTGCAGATGAACTTTGGTTGACATATTTTGTCTTACAGTACTTGTTGTCTATTTAGAAACCTACATTACCTGTATAGCTAGCTATCTACCTGACAGCTCTGTTGAGGTGAATTTGAGTTTTGATGATATTTCTGTTGCTGTTCAATTGAATTGCTAAAATATTGGAGCATAATCGTCTTTTCCCTGTGTTTGGAACCTTTTGTGATAGCATGTGCCTCAACGATGTTTTGTCGGCCATACATTAGAACGCAGAGATCTGTTTCTTGCGTTCAGACCGTAATGGAATAAATTTGGTCATTACAGCACTATTTAATGTGGCTTGATTCGACCAGTTGTCATGCCTCCCTCACGGTATTCCTCTTCAAGGACACTTAAAAGTCGATGAAGAAAGACCTTGAGTTGATGGGTTTCTCTCCATCTTTCTCGTTGTATACACTTTTAGTCTTTTTAATAATTTCACAATTCACATCAATACGTGAGGAACACAATATTTAGAGAGCCTATTATCAAGCTATAGAATCGTAGAATCGCACAATCTTTGAAGGAAAACTCCATATAAATTACACCAGCCATAAGTTATTCTCTGTCTGGGAAGAAGATAAGCATTTCCATCTGGCCGCCATCATGTACGTCTACCAGTGCTCCTGTAGTAAGAGATACAGTGGTCCTACCCAAAGATCGCCTTCCACACTCATACGAGAGCACATTGCTGCATGGTTTTATAAAGGGGAAAGGATGGGTGTAGGCAGCTTTGTTCTATCACAGTTGATCAACTGCTGTCATTAAGCCAACCCCGATCAAGATTTTAAGATCAACTGTCTAATTTATGCTAATTTTTCATGTTTTATTCGTTCTTGACTTCTAAAGACAGCTGAGATCTTAGTCATTCGTGGATTCAAGCCTGACCTCTCTGCGCAAAAGACGTATGTACAGGCCGTATTTCTATCCCAGTCGTAGAGGAGTAACGTTTATTTACTTCATGTTTCTTTCCTCCATAAAATAACGGTCGATGTGATTTTTGTTTTCAGTTTGAACAGCTTATGGTAAAACTTTACTTGGCCCATTTATTATTTTAATTCAGTAAGTGTTTTGGCAATGTTAAAATCTATCTTGTCAAAGTTCTAACCATGTTAGGTAGTGTTTTTATTTGTAAAATGCGCTCGAGAACACTATTTAGCCTGGCTAGTAAATAGAGAACGTACGTGTGTATACAGCTCGGTAACAGAACATATGCTAAGGACCATTTGAAAAGTCCTTCAAAATCCTGCACAAGATCTGGTCAAACCTTTCAAAGTCAGTGAGATCAAGGCATCTGAGCACAGCTGGGGCACTAGTGACTCAAAAGCTCAAACCGATGCTATGTATTCTTAAGAAATACGCCCAACCTTTTTCCTTACCATAACCATTAAAAGCAGACATTTCTATCAATAATGACTATCCAATTACGTTTATCTTTACCTTTTATTAAATCCTTATTTGTAGTACTTCTGACTGTCTACTTGGTTATTACTACGTTTTCAATCTGTAATTGCACAAAACGTTGATTTTCCCAATAATTATGATCCTACTTTGTTTTTATCTGACATTCATTTTTATTTTGTTATTAATACATTTTAATCCCTATTTGTAATCTTTTTAGTGTGTTGGTGTCACAGAGGTAGAATGCTCATCGACCACACATGTGGTCCGGGATTCGATCCTCGACCGACAAGGCACTTCCATACATCGCTAAGTCGGTAAAAAGACCGGTAAAGAGGAGGAGCTGGGCTTGAGGCTAGCGACCCCACCCCGTAAAAACAGATACCACTGCTACCGATATTTCAAAGCTTTAGACTGAAGCCCTATGTTCCGCCAGGAACGTAAAGGAAGAAAAACAAATTTGCAGTCTTGTTAATTTGCCCCTCAACCATGATTAATTCTGGAACTTTCTTACCCGTTTACTGTATATACGTGAATGTTCAGTCTGGTTGACGGCTTCGTTGAAGGAAATAAAATTTTCTTCGCTGAAAATGTCTTTTTAATTTTGCCTACCAATGTGGTGAGAGCTGGCTGTGAACAAACCACAAATGTGAACAACAATTTACGTCAGAGTTACATCCGGAAACAGGGTCATGAGTAAAACGATAACAAAGATTAACTTTGAGGAACTCAGCAACCAATCACAGCAAACTTAACGGGTACAAACAGGATTCGCAGACACATGGCTTAACTTTCTGAGAAACGGTCACAAGCAGCACAGAAGACGATGCTTCTCCACTGACAATAATGTACATAAAAATCTATAAATATCGATCTCTTGCCTGGTTCTGGTCTTCTGTCGTTACACTAATGCTATAAAATCGTGTTAATTTGACATTTCTTTCTAAGGTCTACGGATTTCATGAACTAGTGTATATATATATAACATTTTTGTCGCTCGATATTGAAATATGACTATAATTGCCGGCACTTCATGCTACTTCACACTGGTATTTTAACTATTCATACCATTTTGTTTAAATTGTCTCATGTTTCTTAAAAGTCACATATATACATGTTGTATCCCTTATTTTCAACTTATTATTTTGCTTGAAACTATTTTAACATATCTTAAATTGAAGATAAAACGTGTAGTTAAGCGAACAAGCGCTTTTCAGTGAATTCATCTTCTTTAGCTGTACAGTCGCATTTATATACAGTATCTCACCAAACAGGATAATAACAAAAGTGGT